GGGCAATTGGGATGGGTACGACGGAGATGGTGTGATTGGCACAGGACAAAGCGGAATTTAGGGCTATTGTACATAGGGTCACTATGAGTCGCAAGCGACTCAACGGCACATAACAACAATAACAACAACAACAACATGATATGCCTACTGACCCTGTGGTGAGGATTTTTGTTTGTGGCAACAGGATTGGAGAAAGAAGTATCAACAAACTGCTATGGAAGCTTGCTCCCTGAAAATGAGGAGAACTTGAAGCACTTGCTGCAGAGTCAAGGACTACAGCTTTCAATATGGTTGACAACTCAACATGACAACAAAAATGTTCACCACTGGGTCAACAGGCGTATCATGATAGATGGAGAAAAGGTTGAAATGGTCTGTCATTTCATCTGCTTGGATCCACAGGCAACACCTCTGAAGTCCTGCTGGAGGGTCAGCTGGATGTTGGCTCCAATTTAGCAGGCACATAACAACAAGCACTATCTCTTTTTTGCAGTTCATAGTGAAATTGATTGCCTTCCTGTAACGTAACTATCCCCCTTACCCGTGAGAGACGTGAAGGCGCTCTGGTTGCGTTGTGGTTAAAGCAAAGCTTCTAACCAAAAAGTAGGTGGTTGGAACCCACCAGGTATTTGAAGAAACAAATATGTAGTCCCCTATTTCCGAAAAAAACCCCTTTCAGTCTTAGGAATCCTAGGGGGCAATTCTTCTCTGACCAATAGGATCACTAGGAATTTGGACCCATTCAAAAGCATCAGGCTAGTATTTGATTTGAGATAGAACAATCTGGAGAGAACAGAGAGCGTTAAGTGATGCTTACAATGTGTGATAGTAATCACTGTGAAAATGACATTGGAGTCTCTTCTACTCTTTAATGAAAATGGCTTAAATTCACCATGCTTTTCAAGAGAATCAGATTTAATTTGTGCTGAAAACCAGAAATCCATTAGAACTATGTATGATTTTCAGCCTGAAGGCTGGTGATGAATTTGGCTTCAGATTTCAAAAGTAGACCGGGAAGGAAAACAGAAATGTCTTCTTTCTGGGGCGGTTTACCCGCCTTGGGTAGCATTCATTTTCTCGCAACCATACCCAAGACATTCATTTGCATCACATAAACAGTTTAATAACTGCAATTGCCTTATCAGGTTGCACAATTCATTGTCTAACAGTGACCAGCCACCTGAGCGTAGCCCGCAGGCAGTGGAGCGCCCCTGCAGCTCCCAGGCAGTGTCTTGCTCCGATTGGACCAGATGATGCTGGGATCGCTAGGCCTGGCCTTTAAATCGATCTTTGAAGCCGCCGGGCTGCCAGCGCTCATCGCGGTCTTCTGTTGCCCCCTGCCGGATCTTTAGCGAAGCGTCGCGAAGGACCAAGGAGCGGTCGCTAGGGGGTGCCGAGCAAGGACGTCACTTTTCCATGCACGGCCTAGGAGCGGAAGTCGGTCTCGGCCACTTCCGTTCTGGCCTCTAGATGTGGAAGGTCGGGGCATCTGCAGCGAAGAGGTAAAGTTCCGTCGGAGTGGTGATGTTTCATTGTGCCACTGTTTTTACTCATTTACTGTTTTCTTCAGAGACATGACCGTTTGGCTGATGTATAACGAGGCTGTATTCCTGCACAGCCTCTTCCAGACTGACTAGCTTCCTAGGGTTGGAAAACGCCGGGAATATTGAGCCCGAACCCATCCCAGCAGCCTAGAGTTAAAGTGGTGCAATTTCGCTGATTGTTGTATGAATTAAGCTAATAAGGATGCTGGCGAGATTTCTTCATTTTGTCATTTAGGAGTAATGCTTGCTTCCTAGGAGGAATCAATTGAGGCCTGAAAAGCACAAAGCACTCAGTTCTGGTTTTACAAGTCAGACGTGTATTCTGCCTTTTTCTTCGCTGCTTGTTTGAAAAAATACTTCGCTTTCAAGAGGTAATGCGTCTCACAGAACATTATGTAGCGTTGGGTTCAGTCCTTTTATTCTTTTGACCAAGTTCTGACCATATTTGCCTTTTTTTTTTTTTGCCATCTCTAGGGACAGCTATTTCAGTACGTTTTTGAGAGATGCAAAAATGCACTTCCTTAAGGCAAGTGAGGTGAGACATATTATTGAAAAGATCTTTTAATTGTTTTAAATTATTCTGCTTTTGTCAAAAGAGTAGACCAGCCGAACAGTAGTTGTACCCGTGTCCTATTTATTAAACGACTCTGTAACCGGCTGGTGGCGGAGGTGAAGAGACTTCAAATCCCTCTTTTCTCCTTGCCTAGATCTCCCAAGTTAACAGGTACAGAGATTTTTGATATTTTCAGTACTTATTAGATTAGTTGGAATGATATTTTTGGGTTCATTAAAATGTTTTGAGAGACAATAAAATAAATTGTAGAATAAGAATTATGTTTTAAAGAATCTTAATTTGTAGTTTGAAGCAATTGATAACCTTTAGAGTGGATTATTTAAATGTTTGTTTTTCTTTCTAGATATTACGGGGATGCCTTAAATGGGGATCTAGTACTAAAAGAGCACAGTGTTCACATTCTTGAAGTTTGTTGTTATCTTGGTCTGAAAAGGAAAAAAAAGAACTGATAATATGTATTTTCCATTGTTTGTACTTTGGGCAAGTTTAGTTTGTACCTAGCCAACTGACTGGAAGAGATCCATATTCTTATTCTCAACAAAGGTGATTCACTAGAATGTGGAAATTATCAAATAATATCATCAATATCACATATAAGCAAAATGTTGTTGAAGATCATAAAAAACCAGCTGTAACTGTATATTGACAGAGAACTGCCAAAAGTTAAAGCTGATTTTAGAAGAGGGTGTGGTACCAGAGATGTCATTGCTGATTCAGACTTGGCAGGAAGCTGAGAATACCAGAAGAATGGCTTGTTGTTTTATTAACTATGCAAAAGCATTTGACTCTGTGGATCGTAATAATCTATGGTTAACGATGAGAAGAATGGGTTTCCCAGAACATTTAATCATGTTCATATGAAACTTGTACCTAGACCAAGAAGTTGCTGTTCTGAACAGAACAGGAGAAGAATGCATGGTTTAAGATTAAGAAAGGTGTGTATGTCTTTCCATACCTATTCAGTCTGTATGCTGAGCAGTCAAGAAGCTGGACTCTGTGAAGGAAAATGTGGCATTGGTATCAAGGAAGACTTATCAACAACCTACGCTATGCAAGTTACACAGTTTTGCTTGCTAAAAGTGAGGGGACTTGTAACGATTGTTGCAGCCTTCAATATGGATTATGTCTCAACAGAAAAGAAAAATCCTTGCCATGGAGCCAATAAGCAACAACATGATAGATGGAGAAAAAGTTAAACTTGTCGACAACTTCATCGTATTTGAATCTGCAGTCCATATTGGCACTAGCTGTCAAGAAATCAAAAGATGCCTTGTGTTGGATAATCAGGACCTGTAGAGACACATCTATTGTAAATGAGAGTTAGGACTCTAATAAAAGAGTTTTTAAAAGGAGCACAAGGAAAAAGGTATTTAAAATAGAAATTTGGAAATCTGAAGTGTTGGGTCTCAGGACTGTTTAAAGTTTGAAGGTCAGTAGGTCAGAATGAAGAAATAAGAAAAAGCAGAATCAGGGAAGTGTTTACTTGTGGTCATGGGCAAAGACAGATATCTGTAGAGTTGGAGCACAGGACAAATAAAGTTATTACGACTAAACCAAAGGTTTAGTAACAAGGAAGACAAAGTAGTGAGAAGGATGTGGAATTGGTTTGGGGTGGCCAAATCTTTTATTCTCCCTGAATAAAAAGAGTAACAGACTGATAGGAATAATTCTAGGATAATGATGGTACCCTCCTGCCTTTATTTTTGCCAGGAATGGAGGCAGATCAGGGCCACAGGTGTGCTTTTAACAGAAATGAGCATACTGCTTATAGAATCATAATACAATCATTTAGTTGTTTTTAATATATGTCTTACTGTTTCTTAAATGTTGTTTTACAGAGCATTCCAAAGGCTTTGTGCTACTTGACCATTATGGCACCAAGAAGCCCCCTGTACATGAGAAGCACCTTTCTCCTCAGTTCAAGATGTGGGATGATTCAATTGTCAATAGATATCTTCAAATATACTTCATCTAGACTTCTTAGTGTAAAGTGTAATGATGCTGGTCATGCGTCTTTGGAGAAGGAAGTACTATTGAGGAACTTAATTACTATGGGAGTAGATGTTGACATGGCGAAGAAACGCCAGCCTGGGGTTTTTAATAGGATGGTTACCAATGAGCAGGGACTGAAGAGGTTCCTTCTGTCCAAAGGAGCTAACAAAGAAGTGATCGCCAGCATCATATCACGATATCCACGAGCCATAACACGCTCACTTGAAAGTCTTAACACACGATGGAATCTGTGGAGAAAGATACTATCATCAGATCTTGAAATTGTGAATATTTTGGAACGTTCTCCAGAATCCTTTTTTCGATCCAATAATAACGAAAACTTAGAGAATAATATAAAGTACCTCTACTCGGTTGGATTAACACATAAATGCCTTTCTCGCTTGTTGACCAATGCGCCACGCACCTTCTCCAATAGCCTTGATCTGAATAGACAGATGATTGAACTTTTACATGAAGTCTGTTTGACCTTGGGCCACAAAGATCCTGCAGATTTTGTCCGAAAGATAATTTTTAAAAATCCTTTTCTCTTAATTCAGAGCACCAAACGGGTAAAAGCCAATGTTGAGTTTTTACAGTCAGCTTTTAACTTGAGCAATGAGGAGCTGCTGGCTCTGATAGGTGGCCCAGGATCTGAAATCCTAGACCTTTCCAATTACTATGCTAAAAGAAACTACACGAATGTCAAAGAGAAGCTGTTTTCTCTTGGGTGTTCTGAGAAACAGGTACAGAAGTTTGTTTTAAGCTTTCCATCTGCAATATTCATGGCAGAGAAGAAGTTTAATGACAAAATAGACTACCTTATACAAGAAAAAATTAGCATTTTGCAAATTATTGAAAATCCTCGGGTTCTGGATTCAAGCTTAACTACTTTGAAAAGTAGAATCAAAGAATTGATAAATTCTGGGTATGATTTGAGTACATCCAATATTACTCTTCTGTCTTGGAGTCTAAAAAGATACAAAGCTAAATTGAAAAAATTAAATGAGAATGAAAAAGATCTTTAGTCATACCAGTTAATGTTACATTTGGAGCTTTCATAAAGGATAGGCACGTTGTGCTTAACAATCTGAAAAAATATGATTTTCAATGTGAAAAATGTGACTCTAAGAACCTTCCCTATTAGATGGTAATGCCCCACTCCTCATACTGTCCCACCCAGCAGTGTGACTTACTGAAAATCTCAAGGCAGTATCTGTTGATGGCAGAACTGTAGCCTAAACTTTTATAATACACATTGTTACACAGCATAGAAAAGCCTTGTATAAGCAGCATATGATAGTAGGATTACAAGATTTGATTTTTCAGGAGAGATTATAGCTGATACCCAGTTCCCCAACATTGGAGAGGTGGGTAATGAGCTATAATTCTTTTTCAGCCTTTCAGGATCATCCCTGGAAGGATCTATTCCTAGGTCTCAGTGGTCAGAAGATGACTTTTTAGACTGGTGAAATTAACTAACTAGGAGGTTCCTGGTTGGAGGCTGTTCATTCTTTCCTTAGTTTACTCACCAGTTAGCTTGGGAACTAATGCATGGCTGAGGTATGGTAAAATCAGTTTTGGGGACCTGAAGAAGGCACTCGCGGTGAATGGTGTAACCAGGTTATCTGTATCTTTCAAATTTTCATGGTTTTGATTACCCAGAAGATGTTCTTACCTCTGTTCTTTGCTTTCACATCCCATCCCCTTCAATCCATAGAAGTTGTTAGTGAAATAAAATGAAAAAACTAGAATCCCAAAATGCATACAGAAATTGTTAAGATTTAAACGATGTTCTTGGTTGGCAGGGACTTTTAGCCTTTTGACTAATTGCTTAGTGGAACTTGGAAGAACCCCATTTTCTGTCTCAGCTTCAGTATTCATAAACCCAGGTGTTTATTTGGAAGTTGTCCTTTATAGCACTATTTCATGACTATTGATGAGGATTCGCTTATGTATATGAATTGCTTTCTGTTCATTCTGAAAAATTTTAATATATGAGAATTCTACCTCCGTTATTCCAATGCCAACTTAACCAATTATCAGGATAACTAATTTATTCTCATAGTGATTGTCTGATTATTATTTTTTTTTTTACTTTGGAAAAGAGTTTTATTCTTTGATAAAACAGTGTAAAGATTTAGCAATACTATTTCTTTTACTCATAATTTAAAAGTTCTGTTTATTTAAATCAAGGGTTCATGATATTTTTAAAAAGATTCCTTTTTAAAAACTGAACTCAAGAATGAATGGCTTCAGCAGATTTCTTCATATAACCCTCCTTTGTTTTACTAAACTTGTTTTTATGTTAAGGGGCCTTGATAGTGCAGTATTTAAATGCTTGGTTGTAAATGGAAAGATGATTGTTTGAATCCAGTAGTAGCTTGTCTGGGGAAAATAGATGCAGCAGTTTCCCTCTGTAAGGTTTACGGCCTTAGAAACTATTGGGTAGTTCTCCTCAGTCCTGTGTGGTGGTTAAGGTCAGAATTGACACAAGGGCAGTGGATTTGTTTGATACTAGCTGCTTTAATATGCTGTCATATTCTAATTTACTAGTATTTTACTTAGGGATTTTTTCATGAATATTCACAAAATGGATTGTTGTACAACTTTTTTTGGTTAACTGTGCTAGTCTCATGAAATTTGTTTGAAAGCTTCCCCTCCCGTTAATTGAAAGTACTTTGAAATTATAAATTATCCATTAATTTACAGTTTAGCAGAACTTACTTGTAATGTGAGTCTTGTTCAAGGTAGATCTTTAACAGCAATGAAACAATGTTGTGAAAAATTATTGTATAAATAAAGGCTTTTGACTTAGATTCTGTTGGTGCATATTAATGTAAAATTCTCATTTTAGATATAGCCTATTTTGCTTTGAATTCTACTAACATTGAATTAGCATTGCTGTGATTTGTGTCCAAACAAAAGACTTGTACATAAATGTTTATAACACCTTTATTGCTGATAACCAAACTCTGGAAACAAGGGGTATTTTCGTATTGCATTATATTCATACAATGGAATATTACTTAGCAATATTAAGCAGTTATTTTTATATGAAACAACATGGATTAATCAGAAAATGATGCTGAATGAAAGAAGACAGGTGAAAAAAAGACTGCATTCTATGTCTTTCCATTTATATTAATTCTATGAAATGTGAAGTGTAGAGACAGGAAGCAGTGTAGGAGAGGAGATGGATTCAGGTGGGGAAAGCCTTGAGTTATCAAGGAGCATACAGACACTCTTTTTGGATGATGTATCTATTTTCTTGATTAGAGTGATAGTTCTGTGAGTGTGTATATATGCCAAAACTTATGGTAAATTCTAAGTATGTACAGTTTGCTTGCTTCATTTGTTAGCTGATGTTGACTCAGCTCTAAATCGGTAATCCCACAGATACTGGAATGAAATGCTACCTGGTCCTTTGATCAGCTGTGAGTTAGATAGATCACTGTAATTTTTTTCTAGTCTGTTTTAGTCTGGAAGCTCCACTAAAATCTATTCAATATTACAGCAACATAAAAGTGTCTCCTGGCACAGTGGTGACTATGCCTCAGGAGCATTAGTTGGAAATTGAACTTATTTCCTGTTTGGAAGGTGAGAATGTTACCACTGAATCACCCCAACCCCATGAATTTTAACTATACCTCAATAAAGTTAATCCATCCTTGCACCACTGTCTTGGTATGTTGTTTTTATCTAATACTAAGTTTTTGCATGTGTGTTACATTTCTAGACACTCATCACTTCCATCAAATAGATGTGTTTGTTTTTTTTTTTTATTTCTATGTAAATATTGAGAATTAAACAGTATCATCTCAATGAATAGTATTGGGAGACATGGGAAGAAAAAAGAACTGCTTGTTTGTTGGGAGCCGTTTTGTTCTACCTAGCTGAAGCCATTTTGTAATCCTCTAAGGACATGTCTGGACATGTTGCCCCACCCTGGGAGGACTGGGAAACGCCCATCCTTACTTCTCCTTTCCACTCCCCCCATTGTGTTTCAGTTTAGCCCACCCTGGGAAGACAGGTTTTGGCTTACTGGGAACGCCCTGCTAAGTAATCCTACTCCTTTCCACTCCCCTCATTCGTGCTCCTATATATATCTCTGTATGATTTCAATAAAGTCGAGACTTGATCGAAAATTTCGACTTGTCTCCATGTCTCTTTGCCTCCTGCGCCCCCCATTCTCTTTCTTCCTCTCATAGGGTCACCGTTGAATGTCCCCGCAGGTCGGGGCACTTGTTTTATATGAAAACAGTCATGGTACATTCCATATGGAGCAGTCATGAACTCTACCACTCTACCTTGGTCTTTACATCTAACTGTCTAAACCCATACACCTTTAGCTTTGGTGGCCTAGTGGTAAGGAATTGCAGTGCCAACCCAAAAGCCTGCAGTTCAAATCCACCAGCAGGAATGCTCAGGAGGAATGTGGGCAATCTCTACTGGAAAGTCAGGTATGAGCCACCAGTATATAACTACCAGCTATAACCAAGTTTAGCTGTGACATGAGTTAGACATAGTTACCTGGACCAGACCTATTGCTGGCAAGCTGATTAGAACTAGTCACCCTGTGTCAGTATTCTGAGGGTGCAAATCTTTAAGTGGGATACTTCTTCATCTTTGTCCCACCGAGCAACTAATGAATTCCATAAGCTCTAACTTCCTGCTATATGCATGCATTTATACCTCTCTAGATTACTCCAGTTTCTTCTGTTTTATATCTCTTGTTTTGAATGGGATTGTGTCCCCCCTAATACATGTCAACCTGGCGAGACCATGATTCTGAATATTATGTAATTCTCCATTTTGTGATCTCATATACATGTAAATCTAGTGGTAAGGAGCTGTGCTGTCAAGTTGAAGGCACAAGGTTTGAATCCACAGTCTCTCATGTGATTTACAGTCTCAGAAAACCCAGTGGAGTGGACAGTTAACTATGAGTCAGTTCCTACTTGACAACATGTAACATGATGTTCCACACCAACAACATGATGTTAATGAGGCAAGACTAGAGGCAGGATACAAACTTCTAGGATTAGGCTGCATTTTGAGTCAATCTCTTAAGATGCGAAGTGAACAGGTTGAGGAACTGACTACCACTAAGAAGAGCCAGGATCAGAGTGTTGTATAGTATCCATCTTTGCACTGAGAACCTCCAAGACCCAGGGAAAGATGGAGCTCAAAACACAGAAATATCCAAGGAACATGCTGTAATCCTGAATTTGGGTGTCTTAGCTCCTAAACTGTAAGGGTACATTTTTATTAAGGCTGTCCACTTGTATATCTGTAATAGCAGCACTTGATAATCAAGACACACCACTTTTCCAGGCTTCAGAAAATAATGCCAAAATCTCAGTCACTTAGGTGATTTTGAAAATCAATTTTATGCATCTTTGTCAAAATAAAACTCATTTGAACTATTGCTGGAGGATCTCTTTGATAGCCAAAATGCTCTGCTATTTTATGAAATAAGGAGTGGTTTTCCCTCAATGTATTCTGGTTCTCTGGGGCCATCTGAATCCAATTGAAACATTGATAATACCAGATTTTTCCTTTCTAGTGTGAAAGTAGTTTTTTCAGAGGCTTTGCTGCAGCTGCTATTGTTTGAATATTTAGTACAAACGTGCAATAAGGTTCTGAAGGTACACATTGATTTACAGTGCAAAATGATTATCCCTACTCCTGTTACCACCTAGTTAAACCTGTTCACAACTACTCTATTTTTATGAAAATAACTTATTTTTTTATTGACACCTTTGCTAATAGTGAACATTCTACCATCCCTGATTTGGGCATATGTGACCTTTTACGTGCTTTTAAATTGTATTTGTTAATTATGATTTATAAGCAGATATTTATAATGAGACTAATCTGTGGTGGTGTGTTTGGTGCAATATTTGTTGGTTTCTTGGTGTCACTTATTTTGTTAGTTACATTAAAACAAAATAATTAAAATTCTCATGAACTGTAAACTTCCTGGAGCCATGGAAGTTTAGCCTACTCCTGAAACTATTGCTCC